AGATCAAAGTCGAAAGCTCTCTAGGAAGTTCTGAGATTGCACAATGTGTTATCTCCTTTAAGCAGTAGCTTGGAAAACCCACAGCCTTTCTCCAAGACTAAGCACTTGTATTTCTCTGGCAAACAACTGGATAACACAGACTACACCTTTAGAGAGGGCTTCCCAGGTAGCACAGTGGTAAAGAACCCACCTGCTGATGCAGGAAATATAAGAGACACAAGTTTGATCCTGGGGTTGGAAAGATCCCCTGGAGGAGGAAATGGCAACCCACTCCAGTATTCTTGCCTAGATTTCCACGGACAGAGGAGCCTGGCAGGCTAAAATCCATAGAGTCATAAGGAGTTGGACAAAACCGTGTGACTTAGCACACACACACCACACCTTTAGAGAAATCCTGATACATGCTCAGGTCCAAAGGAGTACCACAACTGATGTCCAAACAGGATCTCAGCCAAGGAGCTACATCTCCAAAGAGCTAACACTGGATCTTCCCTGAATAACCCAATACTTTGGTGCCACACAAACAGAATCCACAGCATCAGACACTGTACTCCTTCTCAGAGAGACATTACACCCTCTAGCTTCTAACTCTGTCACGTGTTCCAGCAACCAATCAGGCCCTAACCACCATCTGGGAGCCATGGCTACTCCTGAATTCCCCGTACCACCAGAAAGGAGCTGCAGAGAATGAAAGCAGTTCCTTTGATCATGCGGTTCTGTCCAGAGCTCTTCCTCTGGCTACAATTAGAAAGTAACCAAAAGGGGGGAGTGGAAGTACAGTTAGCCTTGGGCAAAACCTCCTTGCCTTCATGTATAATGTAACAGAAACGAATTTGTCTCTGTATGTAAAAAAAAGGAAACTCCAACTTGCACTACTATCTTCACAACATAGAGATGTCTCAGAAGATCTGTGTGAGCTGATGCCATGTGAGTTTTCAGGATATGGAGAAGATAAACATTAGAAGCATCTCCCCATCCTCACCTGAAGGACAAATCCTCTTGGGTCATCACCTGGGCACCTGGAGGAAGGAGGCTGTCCATAGCAGGAGTCCCTGCACGCCATCAGCCTGCCTGTGAGGAAGCTCGAGCTTGCGAAGCGATTGGCCCCTACCTCTCTTCCTCCCACTCCCTCATCTGTACCTTCTCCACTCTGCTCTTTTGTTTAGAAACAGCTCCAATAACACAGGCTGCCAGGTTACTTTTTTTCTCTATTTCAAAGCCACTGACACCCTCTCCCAAAAGTGTCCCAGACTTCGAGAGAAGGCAATCTCCTAAGGGTTTCATTCAATGCCCTCCATGGTCCATCTGTCATCTCCAAACAATGGCCAAGCATCCTTTGTTTCTGTTAACTACGAGACCACCCTCCAGTTCCCCAAACACACCCTTGACGTTTCCTTTGGAGAGTCCATCAGGGCTGTTCTAACTAGGACAGCCACATCGTCTTGTACACACTGTGCCGTGAACAAGGGCACCTGGCCAGGGGGACGGAGGGAAAATGGGAGCTGAAATCCAGCCTCCACTCTATTTGCCAAGCCGTGTGCCCTGACCTGAGGTTGCCTGAAGCAAGGGGCGGTCTTCTCTAACTTGCATAAGGGTACAATGTGGCCTCACAGATGTCCTGACATCTACGCCTTCAGTACTTGACTGGACTGCCCTTGTAGTAAAAAAAAAAAAAAAAGCTGTTGTATACAATAAAGAACACTAGGGAAACCAAGGACTCCAAAGGGACTCCTGCTTGCCTAGTCATTACACACACACAGTTACAGCCTGGCTGGGATCCCTGGATGACGCCTATTCCTACACCTATACTGTAAATCTAACATAAGCATTAGGTCTTCCACTCACTGTGAGAGTTCCAGGGGAAGTAGAAAGGCAAGAACTCTTAACTCCTCTAGTGTAGAGGCTGCTAGAGCCACATCCACAACCCTGCATTTTCCACTCTTTTCGCCTCCAGGCGAGTTTTACCAAAAACAAAACCAGAACCCATGCTACAGATCAATTTTCATCTAGCATGATTTTCCTTTATAGATGCAAAGTTACTTTCATGTTTTATAAATGCAAGCCACCAACACAAGCATGCTCAAATCTGAAAGCTGTCATCCCTTAAAATTCTTCAAGGCAAAAGAAATCTAAAAACCATGGCACAGATGTTTTCAACCTGTGGCCCATGACTAACTCCCAAACCCATTTCATATTACCCTGCTTCCCCCCACCCCCACCCCAGCATTAAGTATCCTCTATTCCAATCATATAAAACTGCCGGCAGTTCATCACACGGCCCGCAGTCTCTCTTCATGAGTACCGGGAAATGTTCACAGAACATGTGTTACCTGCCCTGCCCTGCAGCCCACAGAGCATCACACCACACGTGCACCATTCACAGTGGCCACCCATCCCCTAGGACCAAACTCATCCGGTTCTTGTCACTGCTGCTGTCTTGGTCAGAAATTGTCTTCTCTCCATTTTTTACCTAGCTAACCTCCTAGTCAGCCTTCAGGCCTTAGGAAGCCTTCCCAGATCATACATTCCTATGAACGCTAACGTTTTCTCCCACAGCACATAACATAAACACACTTACGTGCGTATGTCCCCTACTAGACTGTAAAGTTCCATGAGAGTAGTTTTAGGAGGGTTTATTCCCCACGGCTTCCCCAGCACAACATCTGGTACAAAGTGGAAAGGAATGATCAAGGACAATGAACCCATCCATCAGAATTCCTCAACCTGTGCTGCCCATTACAACAGTCACTACACACCTGTGGCTCCTGAACCCTAGAACTATGCTAGGATGAACTGAGATCCAAGTATAAAACGTACACCAGATTTCTAAGGCACAGTTAAGATAAAAGTTAAATATCTCATGAATTTTTTATATTCAATAAATGCTGAAATGATACTGTTTTGGATATAGTAGGTCAAATAAGCTGCATTAAAATTAATGTTCTTTAAAACAGAGCTACTAGACAATTTTAAATAACACACAGAGTTCACACTTGTGGCTTGCATTATGCATCTGTTAGACAGTGCTGGTCTACACGGCCCTTTCTCCCACCTGCTTACTTCTCATCCATGAGCTCTCAAGAGGCTCCGGAGCTGTTCCCGAGAAGACTTCCCCAGCACCCACCACAACAGGGCTCCGCACAGTACCTCCATCACTGTACTCAAAGGGGGTTATATTCATCTCTTATGTGACCCTCACTAAGATCTTCCAAAGGAATTTAATGAACAAATAAGAGAACTCATTCCTCAATTCACTCAAAAGCTATATGTTGACTCTTAGAGCTGAGCCTCACTTAAAGCTTTCTTAAAATGGAGGAAGATCTCAGGAATGAACAGGAGTTTGAAATAAGCAATAACCTACCTTGGTAAAGAACAAGAAATTTTATAAACAGGACCCTGCCTAAACTAGGAAATATACTCCAACAACTTTCCATCGTCCACTCGGCTAAGGGAAATCCATCACCCCTTGAGAAGTTACAAAGGATTCTACAAAAAACATAAACTTCTCAGTGGTAGTTTATCATCATCAACCTGCTGTAACACCCCCACACCCCTAAAACCTGCTTAAAATTCAGCTCCTGAATCTACTTTAACATAATGCTTTGGCTGATGATGCAGGCACAAAAATTAACGTTCAAGAATTCCAAAGTTGTGGTTGCTGTGGGAACCTTAATTCCAACTGCATGGCACAGATGCAGAAGTGTGGACTACTCCCAACACTGATAAAATTGGAGATGTATATTTACTCTGTGCAATGAGGCAGAGCTACAGTTACTGAGAGAACCTTATTTTGGCATTTCTAAGCTTTCGTGCATTAAAATTCTCAAGCTTACCACAATACTGTTTGCTGCACTAAAATGCCTCCTCTATGGGGGGAAAAAGGCTGGGAGGATGGGGGGGAGGGGTGGAGATGAACTGATTGGCCAGACATTCAAAGAATCCATCCTGTATGGATTTCTTATGCATGATTTGATTCAAAAGACAATCACAATATTTTTATTTTACTCTTATGGGCTGCCTATAAACTCTCACACAAGTGAAAACGGGGCCTGAATTTCAACTCGTGAATGCACTGAGACACGGGTACGTGGAAAACATGAGAAAAGCAAACTTCACATCTCTAAAACTACAAAAGGATACATTACAAAACCACATGGCACCAAGTTCAACCACACTGTTTAATTTGCCTGTGGCACTGGCTCTCCCTGAGGACCCAGTTCTACAACCAATCCACACAGTTACACACTTTAACTATCAGGAGCCAAAAACAGGGGCTGGAAAAAATGTCTAGAAAAACAAGACAGCCTAACAAACAAAAAAGTTCAACCACAGTCCCTTTCCCCAATCTCTTATAAGTCAGAACAACAGAAAGAAAATGACCACAAAATTTAAAACAAAACTGCCTGCAGTTTTCATCCTAAGCATAATTCTCAACTTGATATACCAAAATCATACACATTGGCTAGCCAAGCACCTCTGCTGCCCGAAGACCCAGCAAATAGCACAGAACAGTGCAACTAATTATTCCAGTCGCCACTTGAAAAAGATAAGTAACTGACCCCAGACAATATATATGTAAGTGTATATATATATACATAGCAAGATTTATTTCTTCCCAGAGCAAAAACACAGAGCAAATCAAAACGACCAGCAGAACAGGCCTTGCTATCATGCACGTGAGACACAGACCTTTCCTCTCCTTATCTTCAGAGAATAAGATCTCGTTAACAAGACTCATTCACCACCTAACATACACCAACCCTACCTCCTCTCAAGCCCCTTAGGAAGGAATGCCAGTGGGGCCCATCAAAAACAAAGGAGAGCAGTGAGTGTGGTTCAAGAGAAATACACTTGCCCAGGGGCAGCTAGGCTGCAAATGCCAATGATTTACACCATTGGTCTGTTAGTGTTCGCCTACACACGAACCACATCTAAATGATGTGGTTCAACTCCTCCCTCTTGGTTTCGGAAAAGAGGTGCTGCTGCTTCTCTCGTCTCACCTGTGTATTCTCCCCCTCCAGTCTCGGTGGTCTGATGCTGGACAGGTGGATGGTCTTGTAGTCCCCGGAGTTCAGCTTCACGACAATGGCGTCAGCATTCAGCACCTGCATCACCTGTGGGCGACAAGATGGCAGAAATGCTGAAACGTGCCTCAACGGCCCAAACCCTGCAGCACGTTTGCTAAGGAGCAAGGCACGCCGGTCACAGGAAGAAGGCTGAGACCAACAGCCATTGGGATAGACCCAACATCATTCTTTACGGTACAACAATGTTGAAGGAAACTATCCTATTATTAGTAGACCTGAGAGAAATGATGATTTCTCAGCAAGGCAGGATCTGTATCACTCAGAAAGATGGCCAACCTTTTTTATCTTTTGCCCTGACCAAGATTTGTGGGGAACTACAAAGCTTAAGAACTGGAAATCTAGTCTCTACGTGCTACTGAAGATTTTCCTTGAAACAGGTTCTAAGTTAAAATCAAAATGCCTATCACAACATGATTCTATGAAAAGAGGCAAGGGCTGGATTAGGAGGTACCAGCACTAGACGAGAAAAAACCAAAATAGGACACCCCAACACAGAGCAGAAAAATCAAAGGCAAGTGAAGGGCAAAAAGTATTGTCATCTCAGCGTGTGAAAGGAGATGTTCTGTTGTTGATCTCACCGGCAGAAACGTTAGATTGCTAAGATATGACTTACTACTCTGGAAGCCACTACTCTGGAAGCCACTACTCTGGAAGCCACCTTTTCAGAGCACTACTATGGGCATCTCTGTTTTGGAACCCAAAACAGTAACACTGGACCCCACTCTCAGATAGTAACTAACTCCCAAGCTTTCGAGGATATCTATTCAACAGCAAAAGCACAAATATTCCTCTGTGGAGGTTATCAGAACACCCCACCAATGTGCACAGAATAAAATTTCCTCAAAACCACATTTAGAGTACATCAGGGTTATAACCAGACCTCATAATTCAGCCAGCAGTCTACAACTTACCCGATTATATTCAGAACTTGTTGTTACAAGGCCATTTAGAGTTTTGGTAAGTAACACTTTACTACAAGGAAGCTATTGACTACAAAACACAGTCACCATCCACTTCATCTGATGAATCAAAACCCACTCTCCCCGCCTTCAATCAGACCCCATCAGGAGCAAACAGGTAGCTGAACAAACTACAGGGTCAGCTGCCACCGTGAGGGAAGACTTGCAAAAGTCCCCTCATCTTTTATATGTGAAACAAAAGGAGCTAAAGTCTCCTTCGCTGTGGTGGGTATCACACTGCTAAGAATCCTAAAAGAGCCTTCACTAACTATTCCCTTGAAGACTCACAACCTTTTACAACAGAATATACCCACTCATTTGCAGACTCCTGCAGAAATGGCTAGCCTCTATCTTTTCCTGAGAACCAGCCAATTACACAGGAAAAAAAAAAAGGAGTGATTTAAGGGACAATCTGAAGAAGGAGCAAAAAAGCAAAAACCAAGTGAGAAATTATACATGACAGGAAATAGCAGGAGGAAAGCGCCATCAAACAGAATGAATGAAAAAAAGAAAGATGACAGTTGGAATCAAGCTGTTAAGTCTATGGAGGGCTGACTACTGCTGGTGGATGGGAAGATAACCTGGGGTTTTCACACCATTAGTAATGGAAGCAGTATAGAGAAAAACAGGCTAGGGACCACAAGGGTAGTAAAGGTCTGAGAAAGAGCTCTATAGATTAGGAGACTCTTTGTGACCCCGTGGACTGTAGTCTACCAGGCTCCCCCATCCATAGGATTCTCCAGGCAAGAATACTGGAGCGGGTGGCCATTCCCTTCTCCAGGGGATCTTCCTGACCCAGGGATTGAACCCAGGTCTCCCACATTGCAGGCAGATGCTTAACCCTCTAAGCTACCAGGGAAGCCCCATAGATTAGGAGAGGGGGTAATTATTTTCAAGTTTCAACTAGGTGTAAGATTAACTTGCAAAACCTGAATGCAGCAAAAAAACAGGCTCAGATAACTACAGTCATTCTACTATAATCTTTTTCTTAGAGCTGAGAATCACACAAAGGCTAACTAACACTAAAGCCCAGAGAGCCAGAGCCTCAAAACTCACCTGGCCAGAAAACCTTAGTGAAGCCCAAGGGTAATCAAAAGCATGATATGTGGTCACATGAGGACCAAGCCAAGGTCAGGAATGATTACCTAGTATGGGTGGTTTTGGAACTCTCCAAAACAAAGACCCCCCTTACAGCAGCCCTATCATTTAAGTGCAGAACTAAAAGCAGCCAACTTGATACAACCAAGCATATGGATTCAGTAACTGAAAGAAAAAGAGTGTATCTTGCTACCATTACCATCTAGACACATTAAAGCCAAAGTAAAAACGCCTGCCATAACGGAATCTCCCTCACTCCCTAAGACAGCAGCAGTGGCTTGGCCAACTGACCACAGAAAGACCTCAGCTAATGATTTCCCTGTCCTTCAAAATCCCACATGTATGTGAAATGGATTAATGCAGAGGTCCCCAACCTTTTCAGTGCCAAACATCAGTTTTGTGGAAGACAATTTTTCCACAGACCAAGAGTTGGGGGATGGTTTTGGAATGATTCAAGCACAATACATTTACTGCATACTTTATTTCTAATCTAATGTCACCGCTCATCTGACAGGAGATACTGGTCCATGGCACGGAGGTCAGGGACCCCTCGATTAAAAGCAGAGACAGGAAAATAAATAAATAAATAAAAGCAGAGAGAGGTAGGGGAGGGGACCACGAGGTATCCACAGTTATACTGCTATCCCACTTTCAAGCCAAAAATTCCATAAAGCCATATCAAGCACAACAGCTAGTACAGCGAATCGGTACTGCTCCTCCCTCCAGAGGAGGTACAGAACCACAGCCCAACAGACTTGGTAACTGTCAGACATCTCAACTGCACACACATCACAGGATTTCCAAAATCTCAATGATGGATCAAGCTGCACCTTCCTCTCACTCCAAAACCAACTCCTATTAAAATGTCCATTGCTGAAAACATAGGGAAGCTTCCTATGATTAAGACATGAGAAATATCTAGACATTCTCTACACCCTAGTCATGCTCACAGAGAAATAAAACCAAGGAAAGTATCATTGCACTCACACCTTTACCCTCTGATTACAGAATGTGAGGCTCGAAGTATACCCTGGTGACAAGTTACTGGTATTCGTCACCCCTTATAACGTGTTAGCAGCCGCCGCAGCAGCGAGCTGCTTCTCGGCGCTGTAAATTTCAGGCCTCAGCAGCAGACTCTCTCTGCTCGGCATCTCCCTGATTAGCAACCTCCTCTTCAGAAACTGTGTGCTCTGACGCTGCCAGCTAAACGAGGCCTGCCTTCCTGGAGAAGCGGGGTGAGTGTGCCTGTCTGTGCATGTGTGCATGTAAGTGGGGTTTATGGGGTAAATTGTGCCATAGCTATCCGGAGAACAAGCAGCTCCTGGGCAGAGACATGGAAGAAGCAATCAAACAGCAGTTACAGTCACACAGTGCAATAAGTAAAACGCAGAGTGGATTACCGTCCAAAGCCTGCTTGTCAGCACCGTCACAGGCCACATTTGTAACGGTGATGTTTCTGATGGTGCTTTCCATCAGGGCAATTTGAAGTATGCCCACATCATCGTTCACCTCCTCATACTACTGACCTCGAGTCCACACACACACACCCCTACTGACCACATGCTCCAAGAACAGAATCTACACAGAATAAAAGGTCACTAGCTGGACTCCAGATGCAAGACCTAAACCCGATCCCCTCTGCATTTCTTAGAGCCCAACTGCAAAAGGAAAAATGAGAGGCTTAATGACGACACAGCGCAGGCTAACGGCTGCCACAGGTCAGGAGAACAGCAGAGCGCCGTCGGAGGCAGGGGACATCCGGCCGTCACCCTGGCCTCCTGCCGCATCCCCCCATCTGCGGCACCCATCTACAGAGCTGAGCAATGGGCTGCTGCTGCTCAGCTTCCCAAACCTGCAGCATCTCCGAGGCACAGAAAGGCCCTCAGGACAGCCCCAAACACAACCCACAGTCCTCCCATGCTGCCGAGGTGATCAGCACCAGACAGAAAGGAAAGGAACAACCGCTCAAACAGGGCTTCTACAGGCACCACCTGTGAGCGCCCTCGATGGGGCCACTGGAAAGGGGACACCAAACACCCTTCTTACTCTCTTAACTCAGGACATCGGCTGCTTCTCCTGCTTCCCCAGCTTTCATCTGCCAGGTCTGTTCTCCCCAAGCTAAACCTGGAAGCATTAGTGAAGCAACACCGCAGAGGGGGATATCAGGAGCACCCCACCCTATCTCAGCAATGACCATGGCTCCCCACACAGCCCCCAGAAAACCCCAGCTACCACCCTGCATCCTCACAGGATACAAAGCACAACCTGCTGAGGCCAATGCCCTTAGGTACCTAAGCCCGAGCCAACAAGCTGGACGCTCTAATAGGTACTTAAAAGGAAGCCAGGCATCAGACGAATTCCCATAGAGGAGTAGCCTACAAAATACCCGACCTGCACTCCTCGTAACTGTCAAGGTCATCAAAAGCAAAGAAAATCTGAGAAACTACCAAATCCAAGAGGAGCCTAACAAGATCTGACAACTAAATTTAGCATGCTATTGAGGATGAGATTCTGGAACAGAAAACGGACATCAGAGGAAAGCTAAGAAAATCTGACTAAAGTATAGACTTCAGTTGATAATATATCAATACCAGTAACTACTTATAATCAACGTGCCATAATCTTGTCAGATAATAATAGGGGAAACTGGGGGGGGGCCACTAACGTAGGAACTCTGTAGCATCTGCCAATTTTTCTGTAAATCTAAAACTCTTCTAAAAAAGTCTCAATTTTAAAAGTAGGTAAATGTTTACAAATGTTTTCTAAATTAACCATTTTCTTATCAGCAAATTAGTCTGCTAACTTAAGCAACAAACCAAGTCTTGACCTCTTTTTGGTTTAAGAGGGCCACTTTCCTAACCAGAAAGAACATCCCCAGAACTTCTTTTTCATCTGAAAGCCACGTGACCAAACCAAAGCTAGTCATTTTTGTTCTCTCCATATTACCAAACAAGAACATAAAAGTCTAGA